AATCCTCAATGTAAACGATCATCAAGATGTTGTATCGATGCGAAATCCACAGATCTGCTTATGTTTATAAAAAATGTGAGGCCAAGAGTATTCTGAAACTTCAGTAAATTGTTTATTGATAAATGCGAATGCTGTCGATTATCAATTTTGCATTAGACAGGCACAGCATCGTCATCGACAGCAGAAAGACTGGACAAGTAGTACCCCCAGTAACTGAAATATGGATAAATATAGGTACTTCAATAGTTTCAAAGAGAGTGGAACTTATAAAACTTACGACACATTGAACATGCAGTATGCAGTAGGAAAAAAGATGGCACTGAAATTAATGTTTTCATGAACAAAGTGAGTTTGAATTTCGTATCAATGTTCGATTTTTCTCAGCAATATTGTTGCTCTATTGCATGATGTCATATCTATTCAAAAAGTGATCCAGAGCTCGTAAAATTTCAGTTTACAGATGCTACATTTTGTTATGCTTTTTTTCCAAAAGATCAAGTGTTATCTTGGAAAAATCTCCGTTTGTTACAGTTTCAAATCTTTTCAATATTCTTATCGGAAACGAACCTATAGAAATCTACAACTTCCGGTCGCACTGGTGGAATGCTCTTCCACCATTTCCGCATCGTGTTGAAGAAACTGCGCTTGGGACGACTTCGATGTACTGGTGTATAAGGAGCTTCCAATGGAGGCGGCCCGTCAGTGGGATACTGTGAAAGCGCCTGTTCAAAACAGAGCACTGCAAACCTTTCAATTTACTCTCACAAGAACTCACATCTGTGCTATTCCGTACGGAATTTATTCGTTTGTCGACCCAAAACTAAAGAAATTTCATATTTTCATCTTTTTGCGTCAAAAAATCAAAACTTTATGTGTTATCAGCAAACCTGTCGTAATTCCAGATGAGGGCTTGTTTGAATACCCTTCCAAGAAAAATTATCATCCGATTCATCTCTTTTCCGTTTCTTCTTTGTTTTTGGAGGAAGTCCTTCATTTCTCGACATAAATCCAACCACAGCCAATTCCAATAACGAAAGAAAAATAAATAGCATACCACTTAAATTGAGAAATTGACAATTACCCCACTTTCAATTCTAATTGTGTAAGCTTAGTGTACATTTCTAACCTTAACATCCACACATCTATCGCTTTTACATATGACACCCGTGGAAGATTCCTGATAATATTACCAAATTGAAAGGTCATTGCTAACAATGAATTCACTCCCAACATTGTCCGTGCCGGAATTGCTCTAGAAACAGAAAATATCGTAAGAGATTGATGGATCAAGACATGAATTGTGTGCTGTCTGTAACATGGATTATGTGAGACCGAGTACAATTAAGTCCATTTAATTTTATAAATTACAAGATTTCAAGAGTTAGTGACGTCATCACAC